CTGGTAGTTGACATATGGGTGGCATAACTACAGCACTGCAGCAACATGCAAGCCACCCTAACAACCGACAGACAAGAAGTTGTGATTATTTTCATATTGTTGTAATTACTGATAATTAGATCATTTATTACTGATATAACAAGATCGATATTCTTACTGATTTATTATAAAGATACCTTTAAGCAAATATAAATGTGAATTATGAAGTTGGATATTCTGTGAGGTTTTCATGAACTTTTGAAATTTTTATGATACAAAAGCACTTAATTCTGAAAGAATATATCATTTTTGTTTTTAAGAAATCTTTACAAGAGATCTCTGCCAATTATAATAAACCATCTAGATGAAAACAAAAACTAAGTTGATTAAACAAATGAAAAAATTGAGACATAGTATGGTCTGCCAGTTAAAATTTCAGTCCAATAAGACAAAAATTTCCTTTAGTCCTTAGAAAGAAACTGGAAGGTAATTCGTGACGAAGGCCTCGCAGTAATGGACAAAGCCAGAGGCCTCTTCCTGCCCGAGGATGAAAACCTGAGGGAGAAGGGCGACTGGAGCCAGTTCACCCTCTGGCAGCAAGGTGAGTCCTGACTTCCAGCTGGATCTCTTCAGCCAGGCCACGCAGGACGTGACTACCACTCAAAGTTAGGTTCCTTGCACTTAATAGTCAGATTCTCAGGCCTACAGGAGGCTGCCTGGAAAACCTAGATTTGGAGAATGCATCTGTGTGTGTCCGTGTGGTTATAATCTGTGGGTGTATAATCACACGAGTATTTGAATAACTCTGTGTAAATAGTACCTTGTTTTTCTTGATTTTTCATTTTATATATGTTTCTGACAGGAATCCTACAGTGTTGACATAACTGAAGAGTCCACCATGTGTTAACAATGTCTGAGGAAAAAACTCCCTGTAAAATAGAGATGATATTGTATGCCTAAAATATGTCACCAAATATGAGTTTTGTTAGTTGTGATAACACACCTGGACAAAAATGCAGTGTTATTAGCTCTTAGAGAATAGAGAGGGTTCATATTCAACTTTGTGTTCTATGGCTCTAACCTAGACCCAGGTACACATAAGGTGCTCCAATTTATGTATGCTCAAAAAGGTAATAGATAAATCTTTAAGATGAGGAGTATTTAATTTTATTATTGTCTCTTTACAATACTGCTTTTTGAATAATCAAGTTAACCAAGGTTAACAAAAGTGTACTGAGGTGAATCTGTCTTGAAAACCGAATAGCTACAGCAATAAATTAATAGGATGATAAGCAATCCATTTTTATTAAATCAACCAGTGAACACAGAGTTTAATTGTAATTATGTTTTCAGGAAGAACTAATTTAGTAATATTTGTAAAGGATTGTACCATATTAGACTGATTACATTTATATTTCCAAGTAGCTGTCAGTTTTTTTGCAAAGATTCCTTTTTGATAAAGCTAGAAGGCTATTGATTTTGAATGTCTCACTAAAATGAATTGATTGTATTGATACTTAAGTGTATCACTCTGCATGTAATAACTCAGTTTTTTTATTAGCATTTTATGTGTCAGAGAGTCTATTGGATTTTCTAAAACAATGTTTTAAGATAGCAGGATCCCGTGTGATTTCTACATCAAAATCACACAGCTCACCCAACTACCATCGAATTGATTCTGACTCAATAGCAAACCTATATAGGGTTTCCCAAGACTATGAATCTTTAGGGAAGCAAATAGCGTGAACTTCCTCTTATGGAGTAGTTGGGTTGAACCACCAATGCTGAGCCAACCAGAGCTCTTATCATCATCATCATGATCTTTGCTGAAAACAAACAAACAGACTTAAAGTTGAAATATGCAAAGTATTAGATAGCATATAAATGTATAAAAATGAAAGTAATGAAACACAATAATTTGATTGGAGGCAACATTTTGACTTCCACGCTGACTCATATTTTGATTGTGCTGTGAGCCATCCAGAATACTTCCTTAGAATCATTTTTATTTTCTTGATCGCGCTGTTAAATTCTCCCCGTTGTTTGAAATTATTAAGTTTTTTTCCCCTTAAGATTGATAGACTTCTATCATGTTGTTAAAAAAATCATAAATGTACTTCTCAGTTACTATATTTTCTAATCTCTGCTCTCAAAGTTTTCTTATTTTAAGTTTGCTTATTATTTTAAAAAATTTGTTGAACTCATTAAATTATCTGGATTCTTTCTTCATTATTAATAAAATTATTTAAAACTGTGGACTGGCCACAAGTTACAGCTTTGGAAATATCCCATATATTGTAATGTATGATATTTTCCTATATGTTTTTTTTTAAGACTGTATTTTTATCTATATCTAAATTTTGATGCAAAATAACTTGGAAATATATGTGTGTGTGATCATGTGTGCACACATGTGCATGTGTTCTTGTGTGTGCACCATACACAAGGGTTCTTATTACGTTGAAATGCTCCAAATTTTAAAACTTATTTTTTACCTTCATGCTCATATGAAAATATTGTTCATATTCTTTCTCTTTGGGAAGTTTGGTTAAGGTTCTTTGTGGCCTACTATCTAGTTTAAAAATCAGGAAAGGTGTGCACCAGAGTTATATCCTTTCACATAGTCATTCTCCGTGATGAGCAAATAATCCAAGAGATGGGAGTACATGAAGAAGAATCTGACATCTGGTTTGAAGTAAGACTCCTTAACAACTTACGGTGTGCATATAACTTACCCTTGTTTGCTGAAAGCAAAGACTGGGAGTGCTTACTAATGAATATCAAAGGTTATAACAGTATGAATTATATATCAATGTAAAGAAAAGAAAAAGTCTCACAACTGGGCCAATAAGCAACATGATGATAAAAGCAGAAAAGATTGAAATATTCAAAGATCAACACTCCTGGAAGTAGCAGTTCAGAAAGCAAGCTTTGTATTACATACAAAATTGAATATCTGAAATGTAAAACTCCACCTAATTCACAATAAAAAAATTGTTTAAAAACAGGGGGAAAAATATCTTTAAAGTGTTATAAAAGCACAAGATATAATTTTGAGAACTACTGTGCACCTGACCCAACTGATGTATTTTCAGCCACTTTATATATATACAGAATCTGGTCAATGGATAAAGACCACTGACAAATATTTGATACCCTTGACTTATGGTGTTAGCAAAAATATTAGATGTACCATGTGGTACCATGTACCACTACCAGAAGTGCACTGGCAGAATATTCCTTAAAAACGAAGCTGGCAAGACTTGGCCTCACATACATTGGACATATTATCAGGAGGGTCCACTTTCTGGAACAGAGCATCATGCTTGGTAAAGTAGAGACTCGGAAAAGGGAAAAGGCCCTCAGTAAGAGGGATTGGTCCAGTGGCTGCAGCAAGGGGCCCAAATGTGAGAACAGTTGTGAGGATTGCACAAGACCATGCGGTGCTTCGTTCTGTTGTGCATAGGCTTGTACGCGACAGAACTGACTTGATGGCACCTAACAGCAACAGCATCTGTAATTTCAGGCTTCTAGAAGGGATCCAGGAAGCCGGCCCTAGTGGATTACGCCTTATACTGCTAACCACAGGTCAGCAGTTTGAAACCAGCAGCCACTTAGTGGGAGAGGCATGAGGCTTTCTACTTGTGTAAAGATTTAGTCTCAGAGACCCACAGGGACAGCTCTACTCTGTTCAATAGGGTGTCTGTGAGTCAGAATCGACTCTGGGAGGGAGTTTGGTTTTATAAGGTCACTGAGTTAGAATCACTTTGATGACAGTGAGAGTCTTTTGAATTTGAGGAGGGCTCTCATGTTTTCCCGAAACAAATTTGGGAATAATTTAGAAGACAAGACGTGTAGCTTAAATAGAAACAGGATGATATACCTAAAATACGATGGTGTTTTGGGCCATCAGCTTGGAGACAGAGGAGAGTAAGTCCTTGGTGTGTGGAAATAGAGGCAGATGGGAAACGGAAGTAGCAGGAGAGGTTGCTGAACTACATTGAGAGCTCAGATCAAGCGAAAGAAGTGAAGGAATATCTGAGTCAATGAAGGCTTATTGTTAGCTGCTCTCGAGTCAGGCCAGACTCATGGTGACCTTATACAAATGTACTTCTGGGAGAACTTGTCTGTAGCATCCACTGCTCACAGAGACATGTTTACACGCATTGTGTTTAGAATCAACCTGCGCATGTATGAACTAGAACCATAGTAACAATACTTTCTTACTCACCTAGTAGAACAGAAGGACACATGGTCATTAGCATGTGTGAAACCATCGTTATGGCTACTGTGTCGAGTCTTAATGAACAAGGGCCACATCTTCCAGCACTATATTGAACACTATTACGTTGTGATCCATAAGAGTTCCGTTGCTTATTTTCCGCAGGAGATTGCCAGGCCTTTCTTTCTAGCCGCCCTTAGACTGGAAGCTCTAATGAAACATGTTCAACGAAGGTGACCCTGCTAGTATTTGAAATACCAGTGACTATGCTTCTAGCATTAGGGTATCATACCAATACCCACAGTACAATACACAGGCCGTAGAATTAAGTGAAGATGTAGAGATGTCCTCATCTAATTGGGAAAAGATGCTACTAGACGGACTTTAAACTGTAGTTCGAAGTTTGGTTTTCTACCCAAATGGGGAGAGGAAATCGTGACAGGTCTCTTAAGATATATAATCAGTACTAAACTATATTCTTTTTCAAATGACCACTTTTCTAGAGTTGAAAAGAAAAGATAGAACTTGCAAATTTGTTGTGTTGTTGTCGATGTCATTGCTCATTGTCTTGGAGTAGATTCTGACCTGTAGCAACATGAAGTGCAGGACTGCGCCCTATAGGGTTATCAGGCTGTAGTTGAGTTGGACACACCTGGAAAATCCAGGCTAGTCTCACCATCTCCAGGTCCACTGATGTGCAAATTGCATCTGCAAACTTAATTTCTTTTGGTTATAACAGGATATATTCAGGGTTCCACAGATTAAGTCGTAGATATATTTAGGGGATTGGGGCATTACTCTGCCCATCTCATAGGAAGAAATCAAGCCTTACACATGTGTCCTGTAGATAAGATCCCCTTAGATAGATAACCTCGCACTGAGCAGACTGCTGCTCCTTGTTCTGCCAATCACTGTCTCTTTGTGCAGCACAATTTGCCTTCCTGTGTTTATTCAACCTTTCATTTCTAAAGTGAGAATGACAAAATAATAGGTCACACGTGGTTAAAACTGGGTGAGTTAAAGCTATACTTAATTTATAAGACAGTTTTATCATTTATTGTTCTAGGAAGAAAAAATGAAAATGCTTGTAAAGGAGCTCCTAAAACCTGTGCTTTCTTAGAGAAATTCCCCGAGACAACTGGATGCAGGAGAGGACAGGTACTAATCGTGTTTTCAGGGTTTAGAATAAGGGAATGCTGGCATTCACAAATAAATGGTTTATTTTGCCCAACAAATTGTCCATGTTTACTTCTTTAATAAAACAAAATTTCATGTACTTGACATCGAAATAGAGAAGGGAAATGTTCAGTATTTATTGATTGGTGCTTATATTTAGTTCCTTCATAAAGACATAAGATGAGAATACATTGTGAGGTTTAGAAAAACTCAAATTCAAATTGACAACTTAATTTTCACCTTAGTTTGTTCATTCTTCTGCACTTGATAAATGACTGAATATTGAAGTATTGCATTTGGGGGGCTGATCAAAAATATTCTGTCCTGTATTTTTTGTGCAGATCAAATATTCTGTCATGCACCCGGGGACTCACGTGTGGCCTCACACAGGACCCACAAATTGCAGGCTCCGAATGCACCTGGGCTTGGTAATCCCAAAGGAAGGATGCAAGATCAGATGTGCCAGAGAAACCAAGTATGTTTCTTCCAATCCTTTGCATACTCATTCATCACCTCTGAGGATAGATGTTGAGAGATCACAAGCTCTGTTTAGTTTCTTAATCATCTTCCTTCATAACTAAAGTAGTCTGCAAGGAGGGAATGTCATCCAAATTCTGTAGTCTAACAAGTCCTTTCCCAAAATCCCTTCTGCTGATTTCAAGGGATTGCCCAACTCTAGGCTCCCCTTCTTAAAAATTTCCCCAAGCCTGCTCTTCTCTCCAGGATGACAGACTTGCCTTCAGAGTTGGTTGACACACCTTGAGCACTTACACCTATCAGCAAACTGTGGGGTTTATGAACTTTATGAACACAAGAACTGCCCACTTCCTGAAGTATTTATGAATTTTGCTGTAGAGGGTATAGTATGATGTAGTGGACTTTTTCCAATCTTGATTGTGCCACCAACAGCCATTATCCTGAATCAGTTTGAGCTTCAGGCCCTCATGCCTACTTTGCAGGGTTATTGTCTGGATGAAAGAAAATATATATACAGGGCATCGAACCCAGGTTCTAATATCCTAGAATGTGGTACATGTTAGAACACCTCTTCTTTTCCCTGCCCTCTCTGCCATGATCCTATGACCACACGATACTCACTCTGGCTTCTGTGTCTTTAATCGGGTTTCCCCCTTTGCCTTGAGTGTCTTTCTTTACCGGATATTCAATTTAGTTCCAAAAGAATGGAATTTCTTTTCTGACTACTTAGAATATATATTCTCAGTAAGCTTGACCTGTATCTTCGGCACTTTTATCACCTAATATATATGAACTAAATGTCCACAGCTGAGCTGTGAATTCCTAAAGCAGAAACCAAGTCATTATCTTGCTCGTTCTCTTGGCCCTTAGGGCAGGTCTGAGTGGAGGGTGAGGGTCTGGAAATCTCAGAGGCCATTCAATTTGAAACTGCAGCTACCTTCTTACAAGGTGCGATGGAGAGTCAAGCAGGAATCAGGTGAGACCTTCTTCCGCCAGAAGACTTTATTTGGGAGACTGTGGTTCTTACTGGTTGCTGACAAGTCAGTTTCGACTCAAGGTGCGACCCTGCCATGTGTGCAGTCTTGCGACCTTGCAGAAGCAGATCTCTGGGCCTTTCTTATGAGGCACCTCTGCTGCTGCTGTTGTGAGCTGCTATCGAGTCAGCTGTGATCCAGAGCCATGCTATTCACAGCAGAATGAAACACTCCACCGGTCCTGCGCCATCCTCATGTGCGTGAACCCATTGATGCAGCCACTGTGTCAGTCCATCTTGCAGAGGGCCTCCCCACCATTTTACCAAACATGATGTCCTTCTCCGGGGATAAATCTCTCCTGGCAATATGCCCAAAGTATGCAAGACGAAGTCTTGCCATCCTTTCCTCTAAGGAGCACTCTGGCCTTACTTCTTCCAATACAATCAGTTTGTCATTTTAGCGTCCATGGACCTGTCAATATTCTTCTCCAGCACCACCATTCACATGCACCGATTCTTCTACAGTATTCCCTATTCATTGTCCAACTGTCACATGCAAATGATGCACTAGAGTATACCATGGGCTGGATTAGGTGCACATTAGTCCTCAAAGAAACATCCTTGCTCTTCAATAGTCTAAAAAGGTCTTGTGCAGCAGATTTACCTAATGTAGTATGTCTTTTGATCTCTTGATTGCTGCTGCCATTAGCATTGATTGTGGAACCAAGTAAGATAAAATCCTTGACAGCTTCAAGCTTTTTTCCTTTTATCATGCTGTTACCTAGTGGTCCAGTTGTGAGGATTTTGGTCTTCCTTACAGGAGTTGTAATACCTACTGAAGGCCACAATCCTGGATCTTCTTCAGCATGTGCTTCAATTCCTCTTCACTTTCAGCAAGCAAGGCACATACCACAGGTTGTTAATAAGCCTTTCTCCAACCCTGAGACTGCACTCATCTTCATATAATCCAGCATCTCTGATGATTTGTTCAGTGTAGTTTGAACAAGTATGGTGAGAGGATACAATGCTTGCTCACACCTTTCCTGAATTTAAACCACTCAGCATTCCCTTGTTCTGTTCGTACAACTGCCTCTTGATCCATATACAAGTTCCAAATGAGCATAATCAAGTGTTCCAGAATTCCCATTCTTCTCAAGGTTAGCCACAGTTTATTGTGGTCCACACAGTCTAATGTCTTTGCATAGATCCATCTGATATCAGCAATGATATCCCTGGTTCCCTGTCCTCTTCTGAATCTGGCCTGAACTTCTGGCAGTTCTTTATCAATGTGCTGCTGAAACCATTGTTGGATGGTCTTAAGTAAAATTTTACTTGTGTGCTATATCAGTGATATCATTCTATAATTTGAGCATTCTGTTGGGTCACCTTTCTTTGGAATAGATACAAATATGGATCTCTTCCCGTCACGTGGCCAAGGAGCTGTCTTCCAAATTTCCTAATAACAGATGAGTAAGTGCTTCCAGTGATTCTTTAGCTTTCTGAAACATTTCAGTGGTGTTTGCATAGTACAGAGAAGCACAATAAGAATTAAGTAATTTTGCTTTTAATGCCCAGAGATACTGCCTACTTCTCAGTGTCTGTATATGTGTATTCATGATGATGATAGTAATAATGTACGTTATTACTCTATGCCAACTACTGTTTTAAGTCTTTGAGTATTAACTCATTAGTCTTTAGCTAGCTAGCTAGATGTATAGATAGATCTCATTGCCATTGAGTCAATTCCAGCTCCTCCTGACCCTTTGAGACAGGGTAGAACTGTCCCTGTGAGTTTCTGACACTGTTTAAAGGAGTACAAAGCCTTGTCTTTCTCTCATGGAGTGGCTGGTCGTTTCAAACTGCCCTTGAGGTTAGCAGCTCAACAAGTAACATACTATGCCACCTGGGCTCCTCAGGAGATGAGAGAGAGAGAGACATGGTTTTACTCACCTAGAGAAGCTAGCCTCAAACACCCTAAAAGTCTTACTTAACATTATTAATATTGATAGTAATTCTATGCCAAAATCATCATTATTCACCGAAGGTTGGGTAGAAAGTAGTTCAAAAGTGTCTAACCAGAAACATAATATCAGGCTTGTTCTCCCCATGTTTTTCATTTGTTGTTTAGCATCCCTTTTTTTAAAAAATCGTTTTATTGGGGTTCGTACAACTCTTATCACAATCCATACATGCATCAATTGTGTAAAGCACATTTGTACATTCATTGCCTTCATCATTCTCAAAACATTTGCTCCCCACCTAAGCCCCTGGCATCAGTTCCTCATTTTTCCCCTCCCTTCCTGCTTCGCCCTCCCTCATGAACCCTTGATAACTTATAAGTTATTATTTTGTCATATCTTGCCCTGTCAGACGTCCCTTTACCCACTTTTCTGTTGTCTCTCCCCCAGGGAGGAGGTCACATGTAGATCCTTGTAATCGGTTCCCCCTTTACAACCCAACCCTCCCAGTGTCGCCACCCACACCACTGGTCCTGAAGGGATCATCTGTCCCGGATTCCCTGTGTTTCCAGTTCCTATCTGTACCAGTGTACATCCTCTGGTCTAGCCAGA